ACTGACTAACCTTATAGTCGTCGCCAGTAGAATTCACGAGTATGAACTTCAGCTGAGGAACAAGACGATCATAGAAGTCAATAAATAGATCTTGTGCAGCATCAGCCACGGATGCAATTGCGGTTGTAATCTGAAGGATTTGCTATGAGTGCTAACAAGGACGATGAAACAAAGCCTGGTGGACAAACCTGCTCGCAGCATAGCTTCTTTCCAGCATTTTGAAGTCGCTGGAATGCAACCCCCAAAGACTGCTCCAAACCAGTCATTATGGCCGGGAGATAGGCAGAAATAATCTGTAAAGTTTATATCAACGTAAAAAGCAACTAGAATCCCTCGTAACACAGACTACGATCGAAAAAAAATATTCAGTTTATCTTTGTTTTCTCACCTGCTTAGGACAATCTTCGCAAAAATTGATGAGGGCAGCAGCTGCATGAGCAGAAACACGATCGCACGAAGCATCCATCATTGTATTCATCAGTGCCGGAACCACCTAGAAAATCACGTCAGAGTCAAACACTGGAGGAAAAATAAGGACACATTTGTATCTGAAACTCACCATTTCATGACATTTCTTCTGCAGCGTTGGAGCGAAATCCGATGACATTTGCCCTATAGCATTACATGCAGCATAACGAACGCGGGGATGCTGCAAAAAATCCAATAGGAGTTTACAGAACGTTAACCAGTCAACCGTCGAAATACCTTGTCATTTAGGAAGGGTACAATCTCGCGAAGATAATCTTGGATATGAGGCTCCATTGTTCTTTGGCATCCTTCACCTATGACCGAGAATCCCATCAAAGCTACATGACGCTCTCGCCAGTCCTCTGGAAGAAAAAAAAAACAGTATAAGAGGCAGCGCAGGAGAACCACAATGAAAGATGAATATTGTTCACTTACCAGAATGGCGCATTTTATCTGTTAGGCTGAGGAATGGTCCAAGCAAAGCTTTCCCATTGACAGCACAAGATATTCTGTCAAGGGCGGACTCTCCCACAGCAACGGATCTGCAAGATATTGGTGAAGAAGGAAAACTAATTCTTGAAGCAAAAGATTATCGAACAAACAGAGCACAAAAAATTTACAAAAGTCAAGAAAAACTCACTCTTCGTCGTCTTCAGCATCAATGTCATCAACCTCCAACCATTCGTCTAACTCAGTTGTCAAATGAGTCATAAGCAGGAGCACAGCTTTTACTAAATATGGTCATTATTACTGGCGAAGCGGAGCGGTGTTGTACGGTAATCAAATCGTGATCCCAACAACTTACAGATGAAAGGAATGGTAGCAGCATGACGCTTTTTGAGCACAGCCGTTGAGCACTCGCAGATCGTCGCTAGAACTTCTGTGGCGGAATGGCGGAAAGCCTCGTCCTTTTCAGTATTGAGGACGCACTGAATGGTATTCATAGTTTGTGCAGATACATGGATATTTTGTAGAGTGAAACCAGAATGACTTACTCCAACACACATCTCCAAGATCTCAGCCATATGTGGATTGACAAGCTTGGGTGCAACCGACTCTAACTCGGCCAAGCACTGCAGCGGCGCATCATCTCCACCGTCTTCATTGACACAAGTATAACGGCAGACCTTGATCAGCGATATTATATAGCAGAGAGGATGAAGAAAAAACCTTACCTCCACAACTTGATGCATTAAGGGTGACATTTCTTTGATCAAACGTTCATCATCGTCATTTTCTATTACATAAGTTACAAAGCACCTAAGAGCATCTGAGCGGACAGTAGAGTTTGAATCCTTGAAGAGAACGGAGAAGCACTTCTGAAAAAGGACATTTTCATATGATCTAGTCCCTTATTCTATAAGCTCCACAGTAAGTTTGAAGGAAAAAAACTGCCCAAAAAGGCGAAGATGCAGAGGTGAACAGTCACTGCTTCTTCATATTCTTACCTTTATATCACCGATATACTGATCGGAATCGGAGCCAAATACGTTCGGTACAGATCTGAAGAAAAAAAAAGATAGTTCAAGAACTCATGCAAATCATAAAATGAAGCTTACTCAAGCACTAGAGCGACGCAAAGGAGATCTTCAGATTTGTCGCTACCCATACAGTGTTTTAGAAGCTGAATTATTCCAAGCCATTTTTGTTTACCCGTGTCTTCATCTAAAAGGAAAAGTTAGATAAATGTGTATAAACTGGAAGTTTGCTTTATACCTATAGTATTTCGAGCCACCTCTGCTATAACCATTAACATCTTTTTTCGGAACCCGAAGTCGGTCTCGTTAGCAAAGCCATGCAGTAGCTAAAACTTATTGTGCTACGAACAAGATGACACTAATTGTGTTAAGTCTGGACTAACCTGTTGGAAGAAAGCTTCTGAGTTATCACCAAGGCCTTCTTTGAACTCATCCCATTGATTTTGTAGAAGTCGCCTGAGCAGGATAAGTGACATTAGTCGATTCTGAAA